AGAGAGTATGTTCCGATATCTTCTCTGTGTTTTGTTTTCAGCTGTGTCCATCATTTTAACTGGATCTGGATCGACTCGATGTTCTGGAAGAGTTGAAGTTTATCACAATAACAGCTGGGGAACAGTCTGTGATGATGGCTGGGACTTAAATGATGCTCAGGTGGTTTGCAGACAGTTAAACTGTGGGTCGGCACTGGAAGTTCCTCAATCAGCTCACTTTGGTGCAGGAACTGGACAGATCTGGCTTGACAATGTGACCTGTTCAGGAAATGAAAGTTCTCTAACTGAGTGTCAACACAGTGGATTTGGATCAAACAGATGTGAACATGGTCAGGATGCTGCTGTCATCTGTTCAGGTGAGAAAACTGTCAGTTAGTCTGTTCATTTGTGTCTTCCATTAAGTCTTTTTTGATGTAAGGATTTATTATAATGTTTTTCATGTTCTTTCCCTTTTAGATCTGATTAGATTAGCTGGTTCTGGATCATCTCGATGCTCTGGCAGAGTTGAAGTTTATCATGATAATGTCTGGGGAACAGTCTCTGATTATAGCTGGGACTTAAATGATGCTGAGGTGGTTTGCAGAGAGATAAACTGTGGGTCTGCACTAGAAGCTACTCCATCATCTAAATTTGGTGCAGGAACTGGACAGGTCTGGCTCAGTGGTGTGAGCTGTTCAGGAAATGAAAGTTCTCTAACTGAATGTCAACACACTGGATGGGGAAAGTACTACAACTACTACTACAGTTTACATTCTGATGATGTTGGTGTCATGTGTTCAGGTGATAACACTTTTTGATATGAAAAAACTGCATGTTAATGTATTTTTGAGTGTTATGCATCTGTATTTTCTTTAAGATATGTATTGGAATATAGTTTGTGTTATGTCTTTTACATAAAAGGTGTGATCAGATTAACTGGATCTGGATCGACTCGATGTTCTGGTAGAGTTGAAGTTTATCACAATAACAGCTGGGGAACAGTCTGTGATGATGGCTGGGACTTAAATGATGCTGAGGTGGTTTGCAGACAGATAAACTGTGGGTCGGCACTGGAAGTTCCTCAATCAGCTCACTTTGGTGCAGGAACTGGACAGATTTGGCTTGACAATGTGACCTGTTCAGGAAATGAAAGTTCTCTAACTGAGTGTCAACACAGTGGATTTGGATCAAACACATGTGAACATGGTCAGGATGCTGCTGTCATCTGTTCAGGTGTGAAAACTGCTGGATCAACATGATATTGCAAGATAGTTTTTTGAGGTAAGGCTGTATTTAACTGTTTTTCATGTTCTTTGCCTTTTAGATCTGATCAGGTTGGCTGGTTCTGGATCGAGCCGATGTTCTGGCAGAGTTGAAATCTTTCACAATAACGTCTGGGGAACAGTCTCTGATTATAACTGGGACCTAAATGATGCTGAGGTGGTTTGCAGACAGTTAAACTGTGGGTCTGCACTACAAGCTCCTCGAACAGCTTACTTTGGTGCAGGAACTGGACAGATTTGGCTCAGTGGTGTGAGCTGTTCAGGAAATGAAAGTTCTCTAACTGAATGTCAACACTCTGGATGGGGAAACTCCTACTACTACTACTACTACTACTACTACTATAGACATTATTATGATGCTGGTGTCATCTGTTCAGGTGACATCACTTTTTGACATGGAACATACTGCATGTTAATGTATTTTTGTGTGATATGTATCTTTGTTTTCTTTAAGAGACACATATTAAAACATAGTTTGTGTCACGTGGTTTTCATTAAAAGGTCCAATCAGATTAACTGGATCTGGATCAAGTCAATGTTCTGGAAGAGTTGAAGTTTATCACAGTAACAGCTGGGGAACCGTCTGTGATGATGGCTGGGACTTAAATGATGCTGAGGTGGTTTGCAGACAGTTAAACTGTGGGTCGGCACTGGAAGTTCCTCAATCAGCTCACTTTGGTGCAGGAACTGGACAGATCTGGCTTGACAATGTGACCTGTTCAGGAAATGAAAGTTCTCTAACTGAGTGTCAACACAGTGGATTTGGATCAAACACATGTGAACATGGTCAGGATGCTGCTGTCATCTGTTCAGGTGAGATATTCTTTTGATCATCTGATGAATGTTAATCACTGTAAAAATAACTTTTTTTTAGACTTCTATCTTCCACTTATTAGTGTGTTTCATAATGAAATTCAGTGTGAACAGTCAAAGTCATCTGTGCAAGAACCACACTGTAGAATATTTGAGTGGTAAAATGTTTGCATCTTTCTCTTTAAACGCAGCTCAGATCCAGAGAGCTATACATTACTTTTCAAATAACTTATAAGATTAGAGATTTCATTTTAAATACCTTAAAGGAACATTTTAATAGTTTCAAATGAACATTTATGAGCGGGACATGGAAGATATTTTCAGAGAGGGAAAGTCAGCCTGACATCTGTATGTGCGTGTAAGTGTGTGTGTGTTCAAGGGACACCATACCCCTGAAAGATTTGATAAAGTCTGCAACTTGAAGTTTTCTTAGCTCTTTTCAGGTCTTGTAATTGAAACAATTCAAACAAAGTCTCCTGCTTCAACTTTCTTAATGTGGATGTTCTGCAGTCCTCACAAACTTTGTCATAATACAAATTTGGGAGCTGAATGTCTTTGTAGGTCAGGAGTGAATCCATTGGACTTTTTATAGACAGTTTAATTAGGGTTCAAGCTGTGTGGACTGACAGAATTACACCTTTCAGTTTACCGTTCTGCTATAACTTGAAATCTGTGGCTTGAAACAGAATGTATTCTTGGTTTGGTGCCCTTCATATAATCTCTGTGTTTTGTTTTCAGCTGTGTCCATCATTTTAACTGGATCTGAATCAACTCGATGTTCTGGAAGAGTTGAAGTTTATCACAACAACATCTGGGGAACAGTCTGTAAAGATGGCTGGGGTTTAAATGATGCTCAGGTGGTTTGCAGACAGTTAAACTGTGGGACGGCACTGGAAGTTCCTCAATCAGCTCACTTTGGTGCAGGAACTGGACAGATCTGGCTTGATCATGTGACCTGTTCAGGAAGTGAAAGTTCTCTAACTGAGTGTCAACACAGTGGATTTGGATCAAACAGATGTGAACATGGTCAGGATGCTGCTGTCATCTGTTCAGGTGTGAAAACTGCTGGATAAAGGTAATATTGCAAGATAGTATTTTTTGATGTAAGGGTGTATTAAAATGTTTTTCATGTTCTTTGCCTTTTAGATCTGATTAGATTAGCTGGTTCTGGATCGAGCCGATGTTCTGGTAGAGTTGAAATCTTTCACAGTAACGTCTGGGGAACAGTCTCTGATTATAACTGGGACTTAAATGATGCTGAGGTGGTTTGCAGACAGTTAAACTGTGGGACTGCACTAGAAGCTACTCCATCATCTAAATTTGGTGCAGGAACTGGACAGGTCTGGCTCAGTGGTGTAAGCTGTTCAGGAAATGAAAGTTCTGTAACTGAATGTCAACACACTGGATGGGGAAACTACTACAACTACTACTACAGTTTACATTCTTATGATGTTGGTGTTATCTGTTCAGGTGATAACACTTTTTGATATGAAAAAACTGCATGTTAATGTATTTTTGAGTGTTATGCATCTGTATTTTCTTTAAGATATGTATTGGAATATAGTTTGTGTTATGTCTTTTACATAAAAGGTGTGATCAGATTAAATGGATCTGGATCGACTCGATGTTCTGGCAGAGTTGAAGTTTATTACAATAACAGCTGGGGAACGGTCTGTGATGGTGGCTGGGACTTAAATGATGCTGAGGTGGTTTGCAGACAGCTAGACTGTGGGTCGGCACTGGAAGTTCCTCAATCAGCTCACTTTGGTGCAGGAACTGGACAGATTTGGCTCGGTGATGTGACCTGTTCAGGAAGTGAAAGTTCTCTAACTGAGTGTCAGCACAGTGGATTTGGATCAAACAGATGTGAACATGGTCAGGATGCTGCTGTCATCTGTTCAGGTGTGAAAACTGCTGGATCAACATGATATTGCAAGATAGTCTCTTTTGAGGTAAGGCTGTATTTAAATGTTTTTCATGTTCTTTGCCTTCTAGATCTGATCAGGTTGGCTGGATTTGGATCGAGCCGATGTTCTGGCAGAGTTGAAATCTTTCACAATAACATCTGGGGAACAGTCTCTGATTACAACTGGGACCTAAATGATGCTGAGGTGGTTTGTAGACAGATAAACTGTGGGTCTGCACTACAAGCTCCTCGATCAGCTTACTTTGGTGCAGGAACTGGACAGATTTGGCTCAGTGGTGTGAGCTGTTCAGGAAACGAGAGTTCTCTAACGGAGTGTCCAAACTTTGGATGGGGAAACTACTACAATGGACATTATTCTGATGCTGGTGTCATCTGTTCAGGTGACATCACTTTTTGACATTTAACATATTGCACATTAATGTGTTTTTGTGTGATATGTATCTTTGTTTTCTTTAAGAGACACATATTAAAACATAGTTTGTGTCACGTGTTTTCATTAAAAGGTCCAATCAGATTAACTGGATCTGGATCAAGTCAATGTTCTGGAAGAGTTGAAGTTTATCACAATAACAGCTGGGGAACAGTCTGTGATGATGGCTGGGACTTAAATGATGCTCAGGTGGTTTGCAGACAGTTAAACTGTGGGTCGGCACTGGAAGTTCCTCAATCAGCTCACTTTGGTGCAGGAACTGGACAGATCTGGCTTGACAATGTGACCTGTTCAGGAAATGAAAGTTCTCTAACTGAGTGTCAACACAGTGGATTTGGATCAAACACATGTGAACATGGTCAGGATGCTGCTGTCATCTGTTCAGGTGAGATATTCTTTTGATTAATAACCTGTTAATATAAACTTTAATCACCTCCGCCTCTCATTCATGTGCTTTCTAAGGCTCTGCAAATGTGTGAGACAATGAGAAACCCTGGGCACAAAACCTTAGACCACAAAACACACAATCTTGACTTTTTTTCACAGATCATATCTGCGCTTATGTGTAGCACAAATTATTTTGTGTGCGATGTATGTGGGAAGACTCTTGCTCTTGACGAAGGCGGTCACACTTTTCTCCTCCTCCTCCACTCCCTTAGCTTCCCTGCTTAGCCTCTTATATCCTTGTCTAGTCTTGTGTTTTTTGTATTACTTTTCCCTGGAACACTCTCTCACAGTCTGTTCTCTAAAACCTAAAAGAGGAATTATGGATTTGATCAACTGGTCCCTGAATGCAATTGACATCCTTTTCTCAACGAGAAGTCTATGCTTGGGTGAGCCTGAGTGCTGAAGATATCTACCTATTCGGAACCATGATAACAGGGTTCTGGCTGATCGGAGCTAGTTTGGCCCTGGCTTATCGAAGAATTAAGAAAGCGGAACCGGCTGTTCAAACCCCCACAAGGCTGCCCGCTGGGATTGAAACGAAACGAGTTTCTCAAAATGGGCTCATCGAGTGCAGCACGGATAAGATCTTGGAGAAGCTTACGGCTGCTGTGAATACTCAGAACAAGACCTCTGAGTGTACATTGGATTAAATCTTGGAGAAGCTCACTGCGGTTGTGAGTTCTCAGAATCGGCTCTTTGAGCACAAGAATGACAACATCACAGAGCGTAAGTTTGATAACATCATGGAGAAGCTCACGGCTCTCCAACGGGAGATTGAGAGACCAGTGTCGGACTGTTAGAACAGCTTTGAAATTCATATGAGTTGTTTGCACTAAAGTAAAAAACACCATCACTTCATGTGGATACCCTTTCGACGCCAGCTGCGGTCTCAAGGCTGGAGCCGAACAAAGAACGACTGTGTTTAGACTGTTCACCCATTCTATGCAAGGCCACCTGGGTTGGCTGGAAGACTGTTTACTTAGCCTGGCAGGGCGAAGGACACTGTCTCAGCTGAACTCTGGACACATACACGCACATGCCTCCGTCGCGCTGCCCAGGTTGCCTAGCAACCATGATACTAACAACTGGAAACGTTTCATACAGCTTTGTTTGACAGAAATGAAGGAGAACATATTTTGTTCATTTGTTTCTACATGAGCTCTGTGTGATTTGATAAGTATCTGAGGCTGAGACCACAGGACTATAAAACATGATTGTTAGTCTTAATTTCTGTACTGAACAGTCATTTAAGATTAGCTAATAAATAACAATTAGCTAATGTTGTTCATGAGACTAAAGTCATCTCACTTTGGTAATGTAAATATAATATGGCCAATATTATAGTTATTATATTAATCATTATTAGTTATTACAGCAGTGAGTTTGAACTCCGTGTCAAATACTGAGCTTCAGTAAAGATTCGAGTTGCAGTTATTTATATGTCCTATCGCCTTAAAGCTTCACTCAAAGACAAGTTTATGTGACAGTGTATCTATAGATGTATTATATATAAGAGACAAATATTGTTCTTTTAATATGTTGGCATTAATAAATTTGGCTCAATGCTTACGTATATGTGGAAAAAGCAAATGTACGAGCTGTGATAACTGTTTCTGATAGAATGAAGAATAGACTGACATATTAAATATTCCTTTAATGGGTGAGAAAATCAGACCATGTCATAACTGCTTTAAGTCATACAGAATAGATATCAGAGCCATAAACAGGCTGACTTCTGTAATATAAACAATTACAGCAATATGATGCAACAAACACAGCAGTGCTACTAATGCAAAATACTCAAAGCTTCATAGAACTGAAACAAACATTTATTTTTAGGTCCATTCTGCTGCTGATACATACTTTAGGTTTCTGAATATTAAACTTGTTGCTGCCTTTCATAGTGTGTAACTTGAAGGCCCTGAGTACTTTCTCCCACACTGAAAACACTGGGATGATAAAATGATTTGAACATTACCAGACTGATTCAGGACAGACAATTAGTTATAACTTTTCTAGCAGTCCTTCACAAACAGGGAACAGTCTGTCTATTCTCTCCATCTGTCAGCTGCTGCTGGCTCTTCCTCCTCCTCTTCCTCACATACTGCTGAGTTTGTCCTGGTGGATCATCAGGGGTGCAAAGCCTCACAGATGATGTGCAGCAGTGGGTCCCTCAGTCTGTCCTCACTCTGGACACTTGCAGTTGTCACACATGGAAATCAAATGTGTGATAAGCTGCAGGATTCAAACACAAGTGTAACTTATAAACACATGTTCATACTTTTATTACACAATCAGAGAGAAAGAAACAGAGAGCGAGTGCAGGACAGACAGACAGGTGAAAGTCTCAGGTGTATACACTGCTACAAAACAGCACAAAAGAAGGAGGATTTAGTGTTTGTGTTATTACGAAACAAGAAGAGTTCCCAGATGGTACAGTGAACACATGTGTGACTGCTGTGATTAAAGCATCTTTCTTTCAGCTTAACGAGTGAACCGTCAGCTCGTTCAAACACACATTAAAGTCCGTTTGGCTCGACACCACCGAACAGAGGCAGCAATATAACATAGCTAACATTAACAGTGCAGTGAATCCTGCTTGTGCCGTGATATTCAGGACTGCAAACTGAGCAGCATCACTGACTTTCAGCTTGTTGTGTTTGTGGATATATGACTGAATTTAATTATCCATAAAATCATCACATTCTCTGTAGGATTAAGGTCGACTATCGAACGGTGTATATTTGAAAGTAAAGGCTTTAAAACCAAGTTAGTACAAACATCGCTAATATACATAACTTTGCCGACATGTGGCCAACAGTAATGTTTTAATGTTCTTCGTTATTAAACGTTTGCACATAAATAAGTGACATAATATTCAGAACTTACTTTTAAAAGTTTACTCTTTGGCCGCTCTGCTTCAGCCATTGCCGTTTTTTTCGGCAAAATTATCCACACCCACCGCCACGCTATGAAGTCTAGGATATGTTGGGCCATGAAGGCTACACCGCCACATCCTTAAAATTCAGGGAAATGAAGGACGCATTTCAGGGCCGCATTTCGAGCAGCCTTTGAATTGGGACAGCCTTCGTCGCGTCGCTGTGACGTAATCGGCCTTAAAATGCGGCCTTTAAGGCCTTAAACATGGGCTGTATCAGTGACCCTGATACAGCCCATGTTTCCTCCGCGTTCCTTCCTGTGTTCCTTCCTTTTTTCCTTTGCATGTCATCCCGTCAGTTTTGGCTTCAGTTTCATTTGTTAGGTTTTCCAGTTTAGGTTATTTCTTAGTTCCTTTCCTCACCACCTCTACTTTTGTCTGTAGTTTGTCCACTCATAAATAAGAGCTCACTCAACTCATCAAAGTCAGTGCCTGTATCTTGGGTCCTAATTTCCACACCCCACACGGCTTGCCCTGGCAAACCATGAGAGATATGGCCCCTCATCAGCAAGCACCTTTTAATAGAAAGAAACCAGTGCAGTGCGAGAGCGAAGTGCTCTAATAGGGTGATATGGTACTACAAGGTCATTAAGATAAGATGGGGCCTGATTATTTAAGACCTTGAAAGAAGCTAATTGAGTCTAATAACAGATTAAATCTGCGCTGAGGCTGTCATTTTTAGCATCTACATGGATAAATATATATATTTTTTTTGTCTGAGCTGAGACAGGAACTCTTATACAGAGTTCCTGTCTCAGAGAGACCTAACATTTAACTGTTTTACTCTTTGGTGCAGTTGAGAATACTGTATTGAAAGCCAAACAGCATTTCAGGACAAACACTCAATAAGAACTGTCAAGTACAACTGTGGAAGGGAGATTATTTGGGCTTGTGTTGCAGCTCCAGGAATTTTTTTTTATAACACTAAGAAACCTCCAGCTAAACCAGGCTCCGGCAGGGGCAGCCATTTCCACTGACTGGTTTAGGGTGAGGGTAGGTGACTAACTGCAGAGGTGTGTATAAACATATACAGAGAGACAAGAGGTGAGGGAATCATGGGAAGCCCCCAGCAGCCTAGACATTACAGCCTGACTAAGGGGAGGGTTTAGGATCTATTAATTCACACTGGGAGCTGCTTCCACAGAGGAAGGGGCCTGAAAGCTGAAGGCTGTTCCTCATATTCTACTTTTAAATACTTTGCATATGGTGCATGCAGCAATGTCACATCAAAAACCTTTGGGGCTTCTTCTTAGTGGAGAGCTCTGTAAACCAATCACAAGTAAGCAACTTGTAGCTGAAAAAATAGAAGAATTTTCAATTTGTTTGACCAAAACATTCCAGTAATGAGAAAACATTTGTGTGGTAACTTGGATTTAGCTTTAAACATTATTTGCATTATTTAAAAAACACACAAAATCATTACATTGTATGGGACCTTAGAAACAGTGGCTCAGTGTTATCATAACAACCAGCATTGTTAATGACCCTATATTAATGACAACTGGAATATTATTGTTTTAAAGGTTGATCCCCACAATATAACACAGGACGAAAAATGAGGAAGTATAAGTGAACAGTCATCTTTAACCCAGGTCAGTCACTCTGAGGGAAACACAAGCTCAAGCAGCTCTGGGTTTAGGAAACAAACCACATTTACTCATCTTGTGCACAATATTGCGCCGATGTGACGTTATATAGAGCGGCACCTGCCCAAGTTAAAGTGTGACTATCACCAGATAACATGGGCCTGTTTCCTGAATCAGCAGCAGGTGCTCAACAGCTGACAGTAGGATGTATGCAAGTAAACTGAGGGTCCGTCGAGCTGATCGCTGATGTCGTAAGAAAAATGCCGGCTTGTTATTTATGTTACAGAGACATAAAACCAGGCAGAAATCTTCAAGAACATCGGAGCACTTTAGCAAAGATGTTCTATGCTGACAACCTAACCTGATATGTGAAGATTATGCCACTACATTTGCAGCTAAAACATTAAAAGTATAGTTTGTGACAGAAAAAAGCGGTATGTGAAAATGTTTAAAACTGTTTAGAGCGTTACCTACATTGCTGCTTGTGATTTGAAATGCATTCTGGGATACCTGGCTGCCCCAAGACCACACTACAACCAGTTCATAGCAATCGATGATCTAGGATCGACCTGTCTTGGCTTACTTTGCATGGTAACCAATCAGATATTAGACAAACTGCAGTGGCCTCATTAAGCCCGCCCCCTGAGTTTGATGAGTTAGGTTGACAGATAAAACGAATTTAAACGGGGCTAATTAAATATAATTTCAAATAAATAAATAAACAGTTTATTAAATGTTTTAAATGAAAGTAATGGGCATTTAATGGGTATTAGACACCAAAACTTAAAATGACAAAACTTTTTTGTCAATTTATGCTCCTTTCATTTCAGTAAATGATCATTAAAGGCACCAAAAACAAATAATAATATCTTAGTACCGTATTTCCCGGACTACAGAGCGCACCTGAATATTAGCCGCACAAGCTAAAATCAGGGGAAAATCCTGTTTTGTACATACATTAGCCGCAACTGACTAAAAGCTGCAGGTGTTTCAATGTTGACTTATCATATGTAAGAGAATATGCACAAAGGGAATTGTCAGGAAAGAGATGGCTGTTTGGAGACACACCCCTTTTATTAATATTTTGAAAAACAAGTTATGGGTACATATTTGCATAACTTTTTAGGTATATGTACAAGTAGCGGTAATTACAAGTACGAAACGTGTACTGTGCTTCATAAACAAGTAACAAATGTAGTACATAACAATAACCTACAGCACACCAGAAAAATAGATTCGGACTACCTTTTAGGCTCAGGTGCAGTGACACGGCTTTAACAAGAAGAAAAGTCAGTCATTCACCACCATCTTCCTGCGCACTAAAACCACCAAAGTCCTCTTCTCCAGTGTCGGAAACGAACAGGCTCAGAGTGGCTTCATCATCCACTCTCAGCTTCTTTCCTTCGTTGTCACTTTCAAAACCAAAGAAATCCTCGTTGTCAGTGTCAGAGTCGAACACCCTCAGAAGGGCCGTGGCGGTGTCCTCCTCTCCATCATGCAGCAGTCCAGCCCTTCGAAATCCGTTGGTGATTGTGGATGTTTTCACACTTTTACACGCTGTCAGAATCCACTGGTGGAGTTGAGCATAACTTGCTTTTCGCAAGTTTATCGCTGCTCGTCATCCACGCCTCCCACTGAACGCTTAGCGCTACTTAGAAGTTTGTTTTTCGCGCTACTTCGTACAGCACTACGTTGCCTGGCGGACGGACATGTGACGAACATACCACTCTTGAACCCCAATACTGTGTGTCTGATCACGTGCCCTTCCGCCAGGCAACGTAGTGCCGTACAACAGCGGAACAAACAAAACAAATTGTCTTACGATATGACAAAAATCATGGACAATCCATAGAAAAGCCGCACCTGACTAAAAGCCGCAGGGTTCAAAGCTTGTGCAAAAAGTAGCGGCTTATAGCCCGACAATTACGGTGTATATTTTCCCAAAAATATTGTCTACAGTACTGATAGACCTACATTTCCTTACACTGAAAATCTTTCTGTACACCACCACCATAAAACATCACACCAATTTCTTTGTTCTATAAAAGAGTCATAATTCCTAACAAAAAAATCTGCATTTTCTATTTGTTACTAAAGGCTCACTCATGGCTATCACTTCAAGCTGATGAGTTAATGTTTTTAAATAATTTTCAGTTTTAACAATAATAATAATACTTCTACTATTTAAATGCAAGATATAAATAGCCTCCAAATTTATATTGTTAAATTGATTGTTGGAATAATGTTCAGAATTATCATTATAATAACATTATAATAACAATTTGCATCAAAATCACTGTTGTTTTCAAAATTAAATCATTTATGTTCAATTGGATCAGCTGCAGCTGCCCAGCCAAGGAAACTCATGTCTTTAAGCTCATGCCAGAGAAGGTTTGGACCTCAGTAGTTAGTGAGTTAGTGAGCTCTTTAGAAAGATCCATTCTTTCATAGATGCTATTTTTAACAATTTTAACAATAGATGCTATATGCTATTTTTTTTTCTTGAATCAAGAGATATGGGCCTGTACTTCTGTCCAAATAGCAAATTCTTAAGATGATGTATGTAAACCGTTATTGTGTTGTTTTCCTGGGTATTAAAAATAAATAATTAAATGTTTTATCTTGGTTTACAGGTATTTCTCCAAGTCCAACAAACCCTCCTGGTATGAAAAAAATCCATTTTCTTCTAATTATTGCTTTTACTTTAAATTTAACAGGGTGGGTTAATTGTATGGCACCAATCTTCATTAACTTTAGAAAAAACAAGAAGTGTGTGCATATGTTTGATTTTTTTTTTTAAATTTGCCTAATACAGAAGTTTGCTATGAAATATGTTTCAAAAATTCTATAGCTGTAGTGACAAATATGTTGTGTATGAGAGACATCACCATATGTTATAACCCATTTAATTTAACCTCCTGGGACCTGGTGTCCACATATGTGGACATCACATTTTGGGTTGTCTAGACCAAATTACTAAATTTTGCTCTACAAGGGCCTGATATCCACTTACAAGGACGTTATACTGCCACTGTTCTATCGAAATTTAAACCGAATGTCCTCATATGTGGATCTCATTTTTCTCAGAAACAAAAATCAGGTTAAAAAAAAAATCACATAGTTCTTTGTTTTTAAATTCATCAGGTCCCAATCAGCCCAAATAGCAAAGAGAAATTAAAATGCATGCCACGAAAGAGTTCGGGTCTTGGGAGGTTAAAGCACGAATGTCTATTTACCACAGATTACTGTAACATGACAGCTTTTTCCATAGTTGTTAACATGTAAAGTCTCAATAGAAGTAGAGACATAGAGATAAATGTGATATAAAAATAAAAAGAAATTATGTGAAATTGTTTCTCGTAATTGTGAAAGAGTTTTGTGATTTTCTTCTTGTCTCCTCTACAGAGCCAGTGAAGTTTATTATAGACTTGAACTTGCTCTTCCCAATATCCAGTCTGCCCCCAAATTTCATTGATCTATTCAGAGGCTATGTGAGAAATGTGTCCTTCCCCCAAACCATCACTGAGTCTTTAATACTAGAAGACTTGAACTTCACCACATGTAAGAATTTTGTGCTCAATGACATTTAAATGTTTTCATACTCTGGTGCATGATTTATGAGCTGTGTTTGGTGATTGTCTTAAATGTGTTTATCAGGGTGCTATCCAAACTCCACT